CAATTTCAATTTCATTCCAATTCATTTTTCACCGGTAAGTTCAACCGCTCTTATCTATGGAATTTCAGGGTATCTTCGAAACAGGAAAGCTTGTGACGTTGCCTATTTTAATTTCCTCAGAGCTTTCGATGAAGCTTAAGCTGTTTTAGTTTCATCCGGTGATACTCTTGTGGACCGAAACTTATCTGTTCCAGCGTTTCAGGTTACAATTAACTCTGTTTTACCAAAGACATCTGCTTGATATTATTATATATTTACGCTGCTGAGCTGCCCGAGCTTTTAGAGGGATGTGGGATGGTATGTAAGGAGTTTGGGGGCGACTTCAAAGTGTGGAGGAAAATTGAGAGCATTCAGGATATAAGCTGTATTCAGAGTTCTTTAGATACTATCTTGAAGTGCTCTCAGTTACGGTGCTTACTCCTGAAAATACAGTATTCATGAGAATAGGTGGCTCTGCACTGTCGGGAGCCTACAAACTCCGAGAACATTGTCTCAACAAAGTCTTCGCTATCAGGGATCTCGGCTTCCATTATTATAATAAGCTTAGTTTTTCTGACCGCAATGAGGCTATCTTCAGGAAAGCTACTTTTCGGGCCTACCAAAACTTAAAGGCTTGATATCGACGTGAAGTCTTCATTAAGGCCTACAAAACGTATGTGCGGCCCATTGTTGGAAGCGCTGCTTCGATTTTTTCCCCTTGGAAAAAGAAAGACGTGGAATTACTGGAAAAAGTTCAGGATAATTACACCCGAAAGTTATGCATCAAGGCAGTGCAGGCCGTGTTGTTTAAGGTGAATCACCCAGCCTCTATAAACCAGAAATTCAAGCTACATAGCCTAAAATCACAGAGGAAGTTTTATGGTGTCTGAATGGTGTTTAAGATATTGATTGGAACTGCTAGAATTGGTGAGTCGAGGTTCTTGGGAGACGGGCGTTGGGAACGATTCTGGGTAATCGATTTGCCGCACGCGGCTGACGCGGACCACTCATTCGCCGTTATTACGGCTCAGTCGATATGCGATCATTATTTTATGCATAATTCTACTATTAGTACTTTTGTTCTTGTATTTCTTACGTACTGCTGCATCCTGCTACATTCCTTCGCGCGCGGCGCCCCTCTCACCGCGACGCGACCATTTCGTTCCTGACGCACCACACCCGAGGTTCTTCACTACAAAGTCTCAAGGACCAGAGAGAGTTCCGTGAAAATTTCACACGCAATGCCTCGAACCAACTTGAAGCTCTACAGTTTTACTTGTAGAGCAGGCTCTATATCAATATCCTCGGAGTCGCAACTAGTATTATACAACACTTTCCTCCCCTGCTTTTTTGCACTTTGAGCGTCTTGCAAAGGAAGAATTGCCGAGTTTTATATAGTGGCTAGAGGTTTCATAGTGTGACGTTGTTCGTTTCTCACGTCTACCTCAGGTAGCGTATAAATGTACATAAACAAATAAACAAAAATAAACAAGTAATACCGACACACCTGCCGTTACAAGCACTGGTATTGGGACGATGAGCACCACCATGGCCATTCCGATGAAGACCAACGAAATGCGTACAGGTAAAGAAGAACTTGGTGGATAGCCAGACTGAAATAAGCAACTTGCAACCTTCGCTTTCGCTTGTTTTATAGCATAAATTCTTTCGCGGAATAGGGTATTCATTTTTTCAGAAATGAGAAGATTTTGAATGATAACGGTTAGTAAAAGCTGAATTTCAGAAATTTTCTGTGAAAGAAGCTCGATTTACCGTACTGCTCCGATCAAGTTCGCCGATCAGAGGGTTTCTTCTTGGTGGTCCATTATATAGGGCGAACGGACCTGGTCCAGGTAATTTCTGAAAACTTCTCCTCAGAACGGGTTGTTCTTCTTGTTTTGAGCAAGAAAGTCAAGGGTCAATCAAAGAATTCTTCGGGACAACTTGCGGTTTTTCGCAGATATTGGGACGAATTGCTGCCGGAGCAAGCGAAGAAAGACGATAGCATCAATCTCACTACTATATTGCGAATGCGAAGAATAGGTTATTTGTTATGAATCTGATCTCGACATTCATGAGGGAAGCCTAAGCAGAACAGCACCTCCTTTCCCCATGTAAGCCTGGACTGAATGAGCCGCTCACCCAAAAACAAAACTTCTTTCTCATCCAGATGAAGTTCGGTCTCAGGGGATAGCACAGGTGAAATGAGGATCCTTCTCATACTTGATATGCATGGAAAAACTTACAAACATTACTGATTCTCTGTCCATTTCTGTCGGAAAAGTTTCCTTCAAGGGATAAAGGTCGCTTTCCGGTGTTCGAGAAATAGGAATATTAGGAGAGCTATCCTGAAATGAATACCATAAAACACAGTGTTTATGTTGTTGGTGGCATTTGCACTGTCACGATCCCTACGGTCACTGCTCCCTTTCCTATGGCTTGCATGCAAAAGTGTCTGTTTGAACCCATCCAGAATGCATCCTCTATAATTATTATATATTTATTAATTCAATGCGGTGACTAGAACGTTTTCTCATTGGCACTCCTTCAATATCAGAGCATATCCGATCATTCAGACGAGCCAGGAAGTTTTCTCTTCTCCCATCATAGAAATTTCGGTGGTCTACCCAACTGCTTGCCATTAGGTTGTCATTAGACAGACAATCGGACCTAGCGCTGCTCTGGTGTGCCCAATAAATCTGGCTCCTTTGTCGAACCATGTAGGGCGTGTCAACTGCCCTAAGCTGAGCCCTTATGCCTTTCCTTGGAAATATAAGTTATAGTGGATTCATCTGTTTCCTTACCACCCATTCGATCACTGCTGGTACATAGGGTGCCTTCTACAGGTTGAGGGTGACTACGTAGCGAGTTCGTACTTTATTCTGATTCATCAGGGAGTTGAGGAGAAGTTCCGTTTGTTTAGCGTCTACTGACTGTTAGTACAGTTGGATTGTCGCTCACGCTCAGTCAGCTCCTTAGGACTCAGCAAAATCTCGTACGCCTTGGGTAAGTATGTCACAAAAGAAACCGGTATAAAGCATCTTCGGCTTCTATTCAGCTCTTCCGCGAATTTCTAGACTTTGAACCTTTTCGGCGCGTTTCCTGGGGACATAGGGCTCGGCACTTCGTTCCAATCAAGCTTACCATTCCTCCAATTGATTCCAGGCTCATCTAGGATGACAAAAGCGCTGACTTGAACATCGGCTGGCCAACACAAATCACTGTTCAGGCCCTCTACACCTTCGATTCACCACTGCGATTATGGATGAATGTTGAATTCCCCCACACCTCCCGGACGGGATTCGGCCAGAGTGGTTTAAGGATTTTCACTTCGCTTCCTTTACAACTGAGAACCAATCACACATAATCGATGATCCGTTCACACTTTCATCCGGTAATCTAGTACAGGTGCTGTACAAGCTCCTGGTTGTTTGGTTTTTGATCTTGTTCTTCAGTGGGTTCTCTTTTTCCCAATTTGAACGATTGACAATTTCCTTGCATTTTCGGGCATAACATGGAACTTAACTATTGAGAAAATAGCCTATGGATATTTTGGAAAGAGATGATCCCATGGGATCGTGAAGTTGATTAGAATGTGCACCCGCTCTTTGCGGAACTCACCTCATCCATTTCAGAGGAGTCCTGCGCAGCCAACTGTCTTCTGGTCGCTGATCCATGCTTTCTCTTTTCGACAGCGACTTTCGGCTTGTTGACGTTGACAACCGTCGTTGGAATGGGCTCAGTTGTTTCTGGCACTAATACGGATGCTGGGGCTGTTTTCGGTGCGGTAACGGTACTTGAGGGCAAAAAGGTTGGGGCTGTTTCCGTTGTGGTGGTAGTAGTTGATGGCAAGGTTGAGGTAGTGGTTCTCGTTGTTGTTGTCGTCCTCGTCGTTGTCGTTGTCGTTGGCGCCGTAGTTGTTGTTCTCCGTGTGGTTTGTCTTGCAGTAGTGGTGGTCCTTCTCGAGTATTCCCTTCTCGTTGAAAACGATTCTCGAGGGAAGGTGGTTGACATCATATGTGGCTCTGTTGGTGTAGGTGTCCTCCAAGGAGTAGTTCGAGGCGATCTATACTCATCACCTCTTGGAGACTCTTCACCAAAAGTTCTCGGCGTCCATTTTAATTCGTTCCTTCTTGTAAAAGGCTCTTTAGAAGTACTGGTCGATGACGCGTACACACCTCTTATCGTCATTACCTCATTAAAGACAGCGGGTGATGTCAAATAACTGTTTCCTGTGGTAGAGGCCGTTGACATATCAGTGTACGACGATACCGAAGCGGTTGAAGCCGTAGACTCTTCCTGCTCAGTTGCTGGCGTTGAGTACGCAGGAATGTGGTCGGCGTCCGGTTCAACGTGTGCCGATACAAGTGGTTCTACTGTAGTCCAGTCGTCATCTTTTGTTTGGTTTTCCAATTCAGGTCTGCTCGTGGATTCCTCCACCATAGTGGTGGACTCCTCCACCACAGCAGTTGCAGTTGAGTACGTCGAAACATAGTCATCGTCAGGTGGAACCGATACGGATGATGCTCCGTCGGCAGCTTCCGTACGGCTATCGGGTTCAGATTCGGTCGTAAACTCCTTCAGCCCAGTAGTGGAGGTCGAGTACGTCGAAACATGGTCGGAATCGGGTGGAACTGACGCAAGTGGTTCCCGTGAAGTTCCAGCGTCATCTTTCGTATGTCTTTCAGGTTCAGGCTCGGTCGTGGACTTTTCCTTCACAGTACTGGCTGTTGAGTACGTCGAATCGTAGCCAGCTTCAGGTGTGACTGACATCGATACAGAAGATTCTGATGACGTTCCTCCGGCATCTTCAGTTTGATCTTCAGGTTCGAATGTCGTGGACTCCTCCAGATTACTAGAAGCGGTTGAGTACGTTGAAACGTGGTCGGAGTCGGGTGGAACTGATACTAGTGGTTCCAGGGAAGTTCCGTAGCCATTTTCCGTTTGGCTATCAGGTTCAGATTTGGTCGTGGGCTCCTCTACCACAGTAGTCGCTGTTGAGTCCGTTGGATTATGCTCAGCGCCGGGTGGGACTGATACCGGCAGAAGCGATTCTGATGATGTTCTGTTGGCATCTTCCGTTCGGTTCCCGATAAGGGTCTGCTCTGTGGTTGTTCCATAGAATCTGTCCAGTATTTCTTGCAGCTCTTGGGATGAAGAACTGAGAATTCTTTTCTTGACTTCCTGCGTAGAACCCTCCAAAATATCATCAGCAGTGGTTGTAGGTTTAGTTTTGGGTTGAGTTGATGTGCTTCTTTCAATATTCGTCGAGGGGATCTGAGTTGTAGTCGTTTTTGGCGATGTAACCGCAAGCAGAGGCCCCTTGGCAGTAAGTTCCAGCTGCGGCCGATCATCCTCCTCTTTTCCAGAATCCTTCAAATCGAGCAGAATCTCGTTATCTTCTCTTTCCAGGACGGCATTACTGTTTCCTAGGGCAGCTTCGTCTAATCCAAGCGATATCGGAGAAGTCGGTGGGAGAACCTAAATTATTACCATATCGCCATCGTATCAAACGTCAAAGAACAGAAAAGAATTGGAGGTGAAATTATTTTCAAAATAATAGGGTATTTTTACCATACTTCGGAGATATATTGTCTTTTCCTATGAAATTGGAATCGCAAGCCTTATGATAGAGACCATCTCAATTGCGATCCTGTAGGAATCTCTAACCAAACGGTAATATACCTATAGGGTGGTTCGTTTCGCCCCTCACTTAGACGAACCACTTTGTTCCTACTGTCCCTCGGGGCTCGTCAGTAAGTGAGGAACAGTAGGAACCAAGGAGTGTGTCAGGATTCAACGTGGTAAATAAATGGCTACAACAATACTTAAGTGTGAGGTCAATGAGGTAGTATGGTAAAGAAAAGGAACAAAAATTGAAAAGATGGCAAAGTATAGAAACATGAAATGAAGGAAGTGCTTTGCAAGAGGTAGCTTTGAGGAGACCTAAATTGTATACGCGCTGGGTATTATAAGAGAATAAGAAGGTTACTGTATGTGCAGTCGGTCCTATAATCACTGGAGCATGTTAACTGCCAATGCGGTGAAACACTAACCACATGCAAGTTGATTATTCATGGAATGAAAAAAGGAAGAGAAGGTAACTGAATCAACAGAGCCGTTTATAGCCATCCCCAATCACCTTCTCGTCCTGATTAAAACAAGTCATTAACTAGTTTTTCAATTTCTGTAAACTTTGTGTCCAAGCCGTATTTATAGCTAATAAGTTTATTTCTATAGATGCATTTAACAATATTGGCTATTACAAACATTTCTTTATATTCATTTTGAACCAACTGTCCTTTTATTTCTCTGACTTTAATGATGAAATTATGCATTAGAGTACAGGTATGAGCTATCCTAAGAGTCTCTGTATATATAACTGACGCTTTGTTCTGCATTGTAATGTTGGTGTTTCCATGAGGGAATCTGATAACCTTGAAGTTGAAGTCATCTGTTTTGTTATATAAAGTGGTTATAATTTTATCATTTATTATACTAATATCGAGATCAAGATAGTAACTTCTTTTTTCCGATAAGTGAGTTTTTTTGATTTCCAAAGAGTCCCCATAAGCTATTTTTAACTCTTCTTCTAGCTTGTACTCTTCTAAATTATGAATATTTAGTAAATCATCCATGTATCTATATGGAAAAATATTCTATTACAACCTAGTTTATTTCTTTTTGCGTATTTGTATTCTAATACAGAAAGCGTAAGATCTGCTAACAAAGGGCTGAAGTTTCCTCCCTGAGGTACCCCTTTTTGTTGTTTAAAAACAGTGTCTCCAAATACGCAAAAGCTGTTATTTAACAAACCAGTCGGGCCGCCCGGCTAACGCCAGGCTTCCCTCCTTCTTATGGGTTCGCCCGGCTACGCCGGGCGCTCCTTCTTCCTGTGAGAAATTTGCTATGCGTAAATAACACTTCGGATTCTCCTTTTTCCTTGAAAGCTCTACACCCTCAGTATTAGCTCCGAATTAGGAGCGATTTTTTTCTGTAAGTCAACCTCGCTGTGCCCGGAAGAACATCGTTTAATATCGCAAAGGCGATTATTCAGAGAAAAAAGTATTCAGAGACTTCATCGCGGATGAGGCTACTATGTTAGCTACCATCAATGTTCCTCAACGCCATCATCAAGGGCTCTCCTCCTTCTTGGGGCAAAGGGACTTTGCCGAAAAATATCGAATTAATGAAATTCCCCCTTTTAATATGTTTTTTCGCTTTTTCGCTGAGCGAGAGTATAGACTATCAAATGCCTTCAAAGATGTATCTCCTTTTTTCTACGGATACATCATTAAATGTGAATCCAACATCATTGCCGGTCGGATAAATTTTGCTAAGAATGATATCAAAGCAAAGAGAAACCGTGATCTATTGATTAACCGCAAACTCTGCTGGGTAGCGGTCGTAATCTAACAGCAAGAAGTGAACCAAATTCATCTCCTTATAATCACACAACTTAACCTTCTTGTCGAATGAAACATAACAAAAAGTCAAAGNACACACACACACACACACAAACACACACACAAACACACCGACACACCAACAGACACACTTAGCGAATTATATAAAGTAGGATAATCTACCAGATATAAAAGATCTTGTATAGAGTAAAGCCTGTAGTTACTATTTATATTATCACCTGCTGTGTAATAAACTTTATAACCATTGGTAGCTATCTTGGCTTTATTAGCATTCTTGAAACACAAATTTAATAATTCTTTGATGTTACTGAATATTAGGCTGTGGTGTAGGTTAAGACAAGATCTCAAAGAGGCTCAACACGAGTCAGATTTCGAAGTCCTCTGAGCGTGTGATACGGTTCCACCCCTCCCCCCTCTCCCTCTCCCCCCTCCCCCTAAGCTCCAACACCCAAACATCCACTCGTGGGTCTCGCCCTAGGTACCTTTTCCTGCGTATGTTGGTGACAGGAGTTTGAAGTGCTAGAGTGTGTCTTTGGTTTACTGTATAACACATTCATGGGACTCTAGAACCTGTCTTGTATCTCTTATGAAGACTTAAAGGCACAGTTCACGATAGTTCGGGGGCGGGAAAAACGCTCACGTCAGACGAGTGTCGAGACAATACAGAGTGCAACTATTCGTTTTAGGACCCACACATAATCAGCTGATCGCCGAGTGGTGGACGATGTTTTTCTACCATTCTTTTCCTCTGTTATTCTTTTTGCTGCCGCGATCCCTTATTTAATTTTCTATCAAAGGGGCTGAAATAGGTGGGCTATTTTTGCTGTTACTAGGGTTTTTTTTGTTAAGTTATGCTTATGAATGAATATGTTTTTGCTTACCGTAGTCTGTTATTCGCACCAGGACCTACACGTACGCAGCCAGACACATTGTATGGTTCGTCCAAGCGCCCCTTTTTCTGGTCTCATTCTCGTCCAGCCCCTTTTTAACGTTTTTTTCGAAGCCTTTTTTCACCTTGGGAACGCCGATTCACGCAGTTTTTTCGCAATGTATTTCATCTCATCTTCCATTTTTCGTCATACTCTGGATTAACCAAAACTATCGTGAACTGTGCCTTTAAGGATACACACTGAGTGAACCATCAGCGGTTTATCTTCAAACAAATGTTATCTCTACAGTCACAAGAATTTCCTTTTCTGAATTTCTCTTCCTTTATATCACAGGGCCTCACCTTCTTTTTTGGTCCATTACGATAGTAAGCCTTTCCTCCTGCATTTGGCCAAGTGTCCCAAACGAAAGGTCCTTGGATTGCCTGGAATTGCTGTGTCAGATAACTGGACGAGTTACCATGAAAAGGAAGAAAAATCTCATACTTTAATAGGACGTTTTCTTTTTTTGACCGGTTTCACTACTTGAAATGGCTTGTCTACGGAGTCAGACTCGATGTTGTTCTTTTCTCGCTGAAATGACATGAATTATGTTAAAGAGTGGTAAGCTTAAGAGACTGAGAGATAATCTCACCCCTGGTCCTAGCTGGAAGATAAAGGATGGATCCTTTTCTCCTGCCGAAGCATGCGGGAGTAGTCGTCTGATTTTAAAACGAGGAATCTTCCGTGTGGGTGCTACAAACGTGATAAGGAAAGCTGCTTCCGAGAACTAATTGGAAGTAATGACCGACTGGCATGTAAAATACCGTGAGTAGTGTGAGTGGTGGATGTAGTTGTCGATTCAGTGGCAGCAGTGATGAATGAGGGCATTGACGTGGTTGTATCGGTTCCACCCATGTGCTCAAAATCACCGTCGTAGTCCAAGTCCTCGAATAGCTGCAGCACGCTCTCCGCTGACTTACGAGCCTCACGTTTGGCAACCTGAAAAAAATTGAATCGAATAGTGATCAGAATGGTCAGTGCTGGAAATGGGAAGGTTATTTCTCGGCGCGATTTGCATCTTGGTCTATGAGCAAAATTCAGGAGAGGAGACAGTGCGGTATCGACCAAGGTTCAGTTGTAAACAAGTGACAAGCGCCGCCCCTGGCCGGCGGATTGTGAAAGCAGACGGTGCCTTCACCCTTCACCCCTTTCAAATCCCTTCATTAACTTCACCAACATTGTGTAGAAATTGAATGTATGGGTCAATTGCTACAGACTGGTCATCGTTTTGTAGGAAAGGGAGTTTGTCACACCAATTTGAACCGTAGTGAAGGCCAAACTACAAAAAGGTTATCACGATCGGCATACCACCGTTGATGAGATTGTCAACACCTTCGCTGGAAATCGGATTATGTACTGGTTATAAAACTCACTTTATAGAGTGGATATATTCGAGCTGTAATGCCTGGCTCTTGAGATTCTGCTCCATCTCCTTGATTCCAGTATGATGCTCCAGAACTCAGGAAATGGATCGTGGCCACAGCTAAACCGATCCATGACACAACCAGCAGAGGCAGATAGAGCGAATACTGGCGCCCACTGGTCGGATGAGCCTTGAAATCGAAAAATTGTGATTTCGTGCTGCATTGACATTCCTTCCAGGTGATTTTCAGAGGATACTTGTTTACAAGAGGATATCACCACAATTATGTTCGGGTCCTGATTAGAAGAAAGTTGCCTGCTTATGATCTCTATGAGAAGGAATTGAGATGGTTACTAGCCACAGGTATGAGTCGGATCTGATCCTTTGTCGCTATGGGAACAAACCTTCGAATGATTTGGAGGTGAACGTTCAAATGAGCCATTTTTAGGTGCTTTTGCAGAAACTAGTTGTTCGAAATGTGGGTGACTCATGGCCTGTCTTGATGACTTCACATTCAACTGCCCTTCCCATAGTTCACGTCTAAGCTCACAATCTAGTCATTATTGCAAATCCAATACACCTGTCATTGATCACTCAGTTTTTTTTTTGTTTGTTGAAGTGAAGTTACTGTAAGAATTACTTAGCTAGGTCCCAGAAAACAAGGTGAATAGCAAAACTTCCAAACGGTGCCCTCTGTGAGCACTGTTATTGCTTTACATGGTCCCTGTTCTGCATAAGAGGTAGCTGTGTATCGTGAGTAATCCACAAAATTGTTAAAGACTGGCACGTAACAGAAGGTTGAAAGAATAAGAAATAAGGTCGATTTCTCGTACAATTAGATCTGAGATAATCGTGGTTGCAAACGCTCTATCCGATCACGTTCTGAGAGATGGAAATTTAATTTTACGCTGAAGTGATCGGAAAATCGTTTCGATTTTTCGAATAGCAGCCCAATTTCTGGCGAACGATTGAAATCGGTACTATTCTACAACGCCTCTTAAAAACAAAGTTTACGATATTTGTGAGGAGTTTATTTTCAGCAAAGTAATGGAAGTCATGGTGCGAAATACTGCAAAGGTAACGAAGAGGAAAATTGACCCACTTGAAAAATATAAGGCTTCAATAATTAAAAAAAAAAGTTGGTTGTATGAGATTGTGAAACCAGAATCACTAAGGAAGGTGTGTTTAGATGAGATGCCGGTTGCCGCAACAACGTAAGCAGATCAACAGTGGCAGCGATCGCCTCCCGTTGGTTACTCACAGAAGTCAGCGATTCAACCAACGTGCGTCCGTCCGTCGCGTGCGTGCGAGCGTCGAAGGCGCTAGCAACTTGATGACAACACTGGCACGTGGTCCATCGGCGTCCTATGTTGTCAACACCAGTCTAGCGCCGCCGTCGCTCGCACGCACGGAATGGACGGACGCAACGGACGGACGGACGGACGTCGGTTGTATCGTTGAAGTCTGAAAGGGCGCATTCATAGTACTGACAACTCACAGCTCATAGAATAAAAGGCTGTTCCTTCAAAAATCAAAAGAAGACGTATTATTGCAGATTCCATGTAAATGTGCCGTAACCATCGAATGTTGATTCATTCACTTTTTAGATTAAGTCGATCAGTTTTTCAGTGCACGGACGAAATAAAAGCTAAAAATACCGTTATGGCATGAATGGCTCATACCATAACGGTACTGATGAAAGCCAGGTGGCCATATGCTAACCTTACTATGGTCTCTTTCGCCGAAAGAGGAAATTGCGAAGTAATGGAACGAAAGTACGATCACTTACTTGATATCGTTTCGCTCCACAATTACCAAGAGCTCGACATGCGACGAATAGGACGGAAAATAGGAATGTGGCTAGGGATATGATGGCGAACAGCAATAAAACGGTGCATAGTAACGGCTGACTGAGCAAGTGTTCCTGTACGATCTCACCGTCGAAGAAGGATTGCTGAAATGATGGCTACTGCAGTTTTATCAGGTTGATGTATAATTATTTTTTCAGCAAATTTACGTGAGGAAACAATCGAAATGTCTAGCAAATACAGGCTCAAATGATTGCTCCGGAACATATCCACCATTACGTCATGCAGTGCTTGCTTCCCATTTGCTAGGCATTCGGATTCCACAGGCGAACAAGTTTGATTCTTGTAGGCGATCACACCTTGACGTTGGCCACCAAGCCGTCCACCTCGTTGAAAGTTGTGTTCGTTAACCAATTTTTCAAAGGGCGATCAACGTGATAATCCATAGGAGTATCTGTTGGTGGATAGGACGACCGTAAAAGCAAATTCCATTCTTTATTCGGCTTTGGCTGACTGTTCCATCGCCGAAAAGTTCGTTGAGATCACGTTATGAGTGTGCCGCCTTCCAACATTTCTCGAAGTACTAGAGCATAATGTGGCTCATATAAAGATGACTTTCTAGACATATTTTATTTGAGGAGAGCGAGAAGATTATTTTTACAAAAATTCCGTATTTAAAAGTTTAATTCTATAGAGAGAAAAGAAGCCGCGAATAATCCGCAGTAATTATGCACCAACCTAATAGTTCATACCAATGCCACCTTTACTTGGCGACACAGAGCATAAAGTTTTTCTGAGGTGGAAGATTTATTGATTCTCCAACTGTATTCCTAAGGGCGGAGAGGTATAGTGGCAAAGGACACACTGTCACACACGTCACGGGTTTGAATCCTGCATAACCGCCTAGGCCAACCAAGCCTTCCACGTACGGGGTCGATTAGAGGATGAAAGCAAGCACCGTATTGTACATCGGTATGGAAGTCGAATGGGAGGTGCATCCCTTGTACGGAATAACGGGATATCCTTCATCTTTTATATCTAAAGTATTGGACTGCATACGAGTCAGATAGTAGTTGGAGAGAGAACCTCAGCAGCTTAAAGGAACAATTCACGATACCCGTTTGAGGTACCCATTTTTATCCGAGCGGAAGTATAGGTTGGGAATAGTTCATCCGTAGTGACGAAAGCCAGAGAGTAAGCATTTCAAAAAAAATTTGGCTCCTCAAAAGCAGGGAAAATAAAAATTGGACAAGATTACCACGACGGAAATAACATGGAAGGGGTTCTTGGACGAGATTTCATGTTGTTGTAATTGCGCAAAGAGCCGGCTACACCAAGTCAGAACTGCACAGAACTGCTTGCACTGTCGCCCTAGGTCATGGCAAGTTGCTGGAGCCTCCTAAGTGGGCTCCCTTGTGAGTGGTACAGCCGCTCCAATGCTAGTGAAACTCGTCCGAAAATACACACGATACAATCTTTGAGCCTGAATAACTCCTTAACTAGACCTTTTCCGACCTGATAGCGCCAGATATGGTATGCGAGGGGGCTCGAATTCATCTTATGGGGAAAGCTTAGAACCCATTTTGATCGAACTGTGCCTTCACCAAATGGGCGGCTTCCTGTAATCTCAGAGTTCGTTTGCTTCTTACCACACCATCGAAGTCATGCGTAAATTTCAACTCTACCTATCACATTTTTTTATTCCCAAAAAAATTCATGAATATTCTTGTAAGTTGAAAATTAGTCTTTATGGAATTTTTTTAGAAAAGAGTGTCTCAGAATGGAATCTATAACAGCGGGTACATTTGGCACTGACACGAGGAATGAACGTATTCAAACATTTCAGTACATTTTAGAAGGAAGTTCCTATTTTAGTGAGAAATATCAAATCATAGAAGATAAGAAAAATTGAGGTTCTCTTCTGAAGAGGGTTCAGAAATCACAAAGCCGACCAATGCAAATACCAACCTTTTGCCTGTAGACGGCTAGGAGATGTCGTCGAGTGGCGTCATCGTAGGGGAATGTGATGCCATCGAGAAGTTGCATCACTCTAAGAGTGCGGGGCAGTCAAAGGAAGTGTGGCTGGTTTCAGTGATGTAGCGCCTGTAAATGATAATTTTCTCCTCGTATTTGTTTTATTCCGCTATCACTGCCCTTATAATAACATCGGATCATCGATCCAACCTAGCGATTGTAAAAGAAAAAGAATTCAGGTAATTTAATGACAAAACGAAAAACAATTACGACAAATTTGGAAAGAGTAAAGACTAAGTAAGAAGCTATCGACCGTATTCTAGACATTGCTCTCCGAGGTGAACTCGCACTGCTCTCGGGCACTTTGGAGAGGAGACGATTGCCTGAGGATATTTAAATTCAGAGGTAAGTTTGCCACACAATAATCTGCCCCCAGTATTAGAGGAAGCCTTTCTGACTTGGACCGTATGCAGTTAAAGGACCATGTGTAGTGGTGCCTTTTCCTGGAGCCCTCCTTCAGGTTCCCTAACTTGCTGCCGTCAGCAAGCAACGTATACCTTTTCAATCCATCGACTCAATTTCTCCTATAATCTTTGTTGTGGCTGTGACCTTCTGATGCCCTGTTTTTTTTTTCTGAAAGGGCGATTGCTACAATTTGTTCATGGAGGTTCGAGTACGTTGGCTCTATACTTTCAAACACTGTTCTCCTTGAAAATCATTTAGACTCCACCCATTAAGTCAAGCAAGCATCAGTCGATGACAAGTTTATCGAAAAGGACGGCAAGTGTGAAATGTTTAGTGATCATTGAGCATGTGAAATAACAGAATTGGAGATACTTGAGCGTTGACATGAATGGAGACGGCAGAGGCAAGGTTGGTCTTCACGAAAATTCCGTGAAAAAAGGTCGAAGAGTGAGAATCAGTTCTCAAAATATACAGCTAGGCTCGGCTAGCTAGGATCGTTAAGATGACACTTTGCTTGAGCTTCATTCAATGAGAGAAGCATTCTCATCAGCGAGAGGATAAGAAGATCAAGCACTAGGTAGTTGAATAAACAAATACAGTTCAGGGCCTTGTAAAACAACTGTGGGGTGATCAAAGAAATAGGTAGAAAAAACGGTACTTTATTTGACAAACCCACGATGTTCGATCACTTTCCAGAAATTTAACTCCTAAATCGGAGGTACAGTAGGTGAAAAGAGTGGAGAACATTACTTTGCCGGTGCTTAGGTCTGTTGCTTGGTGGCCAACGCACCATCTAACCAATCTCGACAGTGTCTGGGTTCCCCATGCAAGAGGTGAATTGAATCACCGGGACCGACCGAGGATAATGACGTCGGGCCCAACGGTGCATGACAGAAAGACTTGATCCTCTTGGGTATCCAAGATGCGGAACATTCAAATCGACCAGGCCGTGGACGAGAACTTCGGGGAGCTTGTGCAGATATGACCATTTCGGTCTCCTCCTTCAACAACCTTCTAGCCTATTAACCTTAACGGCTGTAACTGCCAAAAGGGATCAATGCAGAAAACATATGTAGCTATCAAGTACTGGAATAGGTTTGTACGATGCCTTCGTTCGGTTCTCATTTGGGTTTTATCAGCCATCAAAGTTAACTGCTCGAAGGGGGACGGGCACTACGTGTGTCCGAGGACGCGCGCGGCGAAGTTCGTGTCGATTTGGACGGTCCTACGCAAATTTTCGGGGCACAAACTCGAAGTAGAGTAAATTAGTCAGGTCAGATGACCCCTCTTATCTACCCTACTTTAAATTCGAACCACAATGACAGGCGCTAAAGTCGTTCAAATCGCTACAAACTCCACCGCGCGATTCGCCGCGCGCATCCTCGGACGCACTAATGCCACATACTCCTCCTGGAAGGGGACGGAACATTCACCCAAAACTGGATGGACGCGGCAAATGGCGCGGCGAGATTCGTGGCGTTTAGGACGACTTTGGCACCTGTTGGGGCGCAGACTTGAAGTGGAGTACATCAG